CCTTTATTTTTAAGAGTGTATGTTTGCCAAATCTAGTTGCAGACTTCCATAAAAGCATTAACTGACGAGAAATCATATAGTGTACATGAAGACCTGAATGACTGCGACGTCTCTGTGAAGCTTTGAAACAATATTCTGAAAAGTGCTATAAATAACACATGATTTATGAATTGATTTGACTACGTGTATAGTCTTTGCTATAACACTGTAAGTTAGCAAAGTGAGAAGTTATTATTTTCAATGAATCATATGGAAACTCAGATCAGGGGCCAGTTGCATAAACTCAGCCTCTCTGTTAAGACAGCGTCTTTAAGTATGAGTCTGACCAACTAACAGTTAGCCAAGAGTTAGTGAGCTTTATTTGTTGGATTCAACTTTGACTAATCTACATTTTTATGTAACCGAATTAAAAAAATATATATGATCAGCCTTAAAGAAAAAAACAGATGACTAGTCTAAGCCTTTTATGCAACAGGCCCCTGATGTCAGGAAAATAATTCACTACCAGTACACTGACATTTGGTATGGGTCAGTAATTATAAATGTTTTGTTTCTTACATTATTTGACAGGTTTTGTGTGAGAGAGATGTAACAACAGCAAGGTCAGTGTGGCCTTGACTGATGCCATTAAACACTGCCCCAAAAGTAGCTGTTCATAACTGTTCTTCTGCTAAGTTAACAGACCACCAAATCTGACCTGACAGCTCCACATAAGGTAAAATAAATGAACACAGTTTGATCATATTATATTTGTATGTAGTTGCTCAGTAATGAAATTACATTCATTTTGAACATTTTTGTAGCTATAAGTGTAGCTTTAACATTTCAAAATGTGTATTCGTGTTTAAAAATGTCTTAAAATTCAGTAGCCTCAAGAATGGAGTACGTACGATAGCCTACTTTTTAAAAAATATAAATTTTGAAGCTTGGCGATTAAGAAAAATGGAAAGATAATGAAAATGTCGTGTTCCACGGGAAACAAAATAAAACTAAATGATGAAGTAATTCATAAATTACTCTCATTTCAGCATTTCATTCTCTGAAATGAGTTTAATCCACCACATTGTGATAAGTGATAAAAGTAGAGATCCAAAATGTTCATTGCAGTGCTACATCAGTATTGGGAATTTTGGTGTGTGTCTTTGAATAATCAGGGTATCTTCC